GTGTGTGTGTGTGTGTACCATTGTAACCAGCAGCATTGGTCTTCCAGTCAGGGGCACTGAGATGTCCGGCTCTAGAGGTCTTTACAATGATGTGCTGAACATCTCTCCATGTTAGAAGAGGACTAGTGGAAGAAAACACACAAAAATACATGAATTTATTCATCGTTATTTAAAAAGATCCAAGGAAAAAGTGGGACCACATAAATGAGCAGGAACAAAGTAAATACACAAGACCTGCCTTCCTGTGAACATACTCGGATATACGCATACATTTTAAATAACAAATGGGTAAATCAACACACAAGCACATACATAAGTGACAAGGTCAGGCAGTACTGACAATGTAAATACAAGAATGAGGATGAGGAATACTGCTTTGAATAATGTATTTTGTTGTGAAAAAAAAGAACAGAACACAGAGAGAAAAACTGACTAAAAGAGGGGAAATGGACAATAAAGTATGGAGCACAATCTTCCTTATGGGAGTAAATTCAGACAACAGCATATAGAGGTTTAGGCTAAAAGAAGAAAGAGGTTAAAAAACAAAGTGCACGTAGGAAGAATGAGGATGAAATGCAAAAAAAGGTAAAGAAACAGTTTTATACAGTAGGTGGAAGATTACTGAGAGAGAAAATTACAGAGAGGATGGAGAGCATGGATGCCCGTTCATCCCTCCCTGGTTTCTTAGATCTCACGTGAGATCCATTACGAGATGGCAGCCATGTGTCTCGACGTCTTTGATGTCCAAACGCTACATTAAAATGGAAAAACCAGGAAGAAGTGGGTCACTAAGTTTCCTGGGATTCCCTTCCATCTCATATGCTGGCCAGATGCTCCGTTCCCTCCCCTCATGTCACTCCCTCGCCATCTGAGACCTCCACAATCTGCACTACTCTGAATCAGTTGACCTAAAACTAATATTTAAAACTAACATTAATGTTGCAACCCAACATCTGGATTTCAAAATGTACGAAGTGGGAATACAGATATGATGTGAGAGAAAGACGGAGATCGACAGGCGACACTTGAGCACACTGTGCCTTTGCCTGTTGAGCTGCTTGCGTAAGAGTAGGTTCTTTCACAGCTTCCTGTGATCTCTTAAAACAAAAAGGCATTGGAGGACTTTTAAAATCCTGAACATCTGGGAGAAGTCTCAGCATCACACATTTGGCCGATTACAGTAAAAAGCCTCCTTTACATGTGCACTCTTTTCCGTAAAGGTTCCGTCAATTTTATCTGTATCTGTGGTGTATGACTAGGGATAGGGTTCATCAATACTGTGTTTGGTTTTGTAGGTGGTTATGGTTTCTTGTCTTTATTGTATTGTTCTATGCATCTATAATGCCTTGCCTTTTTCCTTGATCCCATATTTGTTCTTTAGGGACGCACATGATCCAGACCAGTCATACCGCGTGTGTCAAGAGTCAGATCTCTCCTATAACGAACAATCCCAGGTTGACTGGGTGCTGTATGGATGCTGGAAATCTAAAGGCAGCAATATTTAGAGGTTTGGTGTAATCGAACTCATTAAGTGGGTCAGGCTACAGAATCACGGTCAGATTAGTCAATCAAACATGTCTGATAACAACCAGAGGGCTCCCCCTTTGGGATACAGGATTCCCAAACATGTGAATATCAATCAAATTTAGATTATTATGTTTTAGAGCGATTTGTGGGCTAAATAAATGCTAATCAGTCCATTGATCATAATAAAGACTATTAAAACATACTGCTCTTAGATGCTTTGGCCATCCAGTGTTTACGCGGAGAATGCTTTTTTTATAGATCACACAGATCTATTTGACGAAATGTTTCAGATTGCCAGGAATACTGATTTTACATCTGGAGCCTCAATTTAGGACAAACACATGATGGTGTGATACCACTGGTACTGTTACTGTGTGTAACAGTGCTGACACAATGATTTACTGTTCCCCTGCAATGCCTGGATAATCTGCTGCAGTAACACAATGATTTCCCAATAATTGTACGTGGCATCTGTCCAGTTCCAGTGTTTGCACATGCAAAACACCTTCCCTTACATAAAGTTTAAGGGGCTTTACCAATGCTAATAACAACTGGCCACACGCCTCCAATTTATCATTTGGGACTGATCATGCCTGAGACCTCACTTGCTCTATTTTCATGCATAAACTAAAAAAACTTGCTTATATTTTCTCTTCACAGAAAGTTGCTACATGAGGCCCATTGTGTGTTGACCTGCCCTATTTGTCTCAGAGCAGCGCAAGTTCTTCATGGTTTTGAAAATCAGTCATCATAGTAAAATAAGAATCAAAGTCTGTATTTTAATTGTGTTCCCTGGTTTCACTTAAAATAAGAAGAGCACAAAAATTCTGTTACGCTGAAAGCTGGCTATTACTCTCTGGCAGAGCTAGGAGCCTGGAAAAGAGCTAACGTTTTACATTAGCTGTCCATCATTCTTTGGCTTTTAAAGTAGAGTAATCAAATTGCCTTAATGGAGTGTTGGGCCAGACTTTTTGCAGCTATCAGGGTTCAAGACAAACTGCTTTCTTATGCTATGGATGAGATCAGGAATAAACAAAAAAGTCTTCAACCTGGAAGAACACATCCTCACGATGCCCAGAATACAACAGTTGCCAAGACATTAACACATCAAAACTCACTAATGCCCTAACTAAGCAGATACTTATCAAATCCAACTGAAGAACTTGACTAAATAGCTGAAAATAAAATATCAAGTAAAAAATAATTAAAGGATGGTAGCACAGATAAGTGCTATGAAAAGTCAGAATAATTAATGTTCAGATCAATATTAATAGGCTTAGCTGCCACTGTGTAATTATGGTTCCATAAATGTTTTATGGTCATTAATTAAAAGTGACTTTGGCATCGTTATCTAGGCCACGACAGCCTTCCCATAAACAAGCCAATACTAATTAATGGAGTAGCTCACATACTAGGGAAAACCAGCAGCAAATCAGTACGTCTAATATAGGTTTCTTGGTGCTTCTCTTAAGTGTAATTATGGATGAAAACACACACGGGTACTCCGCAGGGAGAAAGCCAAGTAGCAAGTGAAGGGGTAAAATGAAGAGCCAAAAAGTCCATCTCCATCTCACCTTGGTTCAGTCCAGTGATGGAAGATTACCCACTAAACAATAACTGTAATTTTTCACTCTTAAATCTGCCTCTCAAGCTTGAATTTTAAAGCAGATGAATGGAGAAGAAATTGTTTTCTTTTCACCCATCTGTCCCTGCTTTGGGTTATCAAAACCTCCCAGTAGATGAGGTTCTTATGGTTATCCATGCTCATTTCTTTTTCATCCCTCCTAATTTCCTCACTGAAGTCTCTTGTCTCCATGTTCACTCACTTTTCCATTTCTTCACTTCCAAGGACTAAAGAAAAGAAATAAAAGTTTCTGAGGCTCTAAAAACGTTGCTGCTTGCCATGCAGGACTCCAGCTCATAAAGAGATGAATCATGTGCAGACTTACACCATCTTAAACTTGGCAAAAATCTACAAAGAACAGAGCAAGGGATAGCTTTCTGAAGTAACATGTTCCAATCCACTCTCATACCAAGGGAATAGGCCTCACAACAAAGTGTTTAGTGAAGTCTAGCATAATGGCGTCGTGACATGTTTATCACAGAAAGTTTGCTTGCTTTCATTCACCAGATAAGAGCAGATGCGATCAGTTTTTCTAAACTTTTTCCGTCTTATTCTTTCATCCTCTCCCCTTTGCCTGCGTGTGCATGCATGCAAGTTTATTCACGTGAGAAACTGAATGAATGGATAGAAGGGAAGAAAGAGCGGTTTCCTTGGAGGAGGGAAAAAAGACCATCATGACAGTGGTAGAGGCACAGCAAGTATAACAGAGAGGAGGTGAGAGCTAGCAGAAGAGAAGAAAGCAGGCAGGCAAGAAGCAGTGTGTGATAATCTTGTTGAGGAAACAGGCTTATGTGCCCAGCACTGCCTGGAAACCGAGAATATTTTCTACAGGGAGGATTTGGATTGGATTATCCAGGTTAAATGAAGTGACCTCAGCTAACTGAGCCGCTCAACATGTGATGATGGGGTAAAGCCCAATTCAGAGTCTCAGCACCTGCACCTGCACTCTTTCCAATTCAAGAATTTATCACAAATAAAAGCACATCAACTTGTTTTGAAGAGGGGTCGAGCAGGCATTTGCAGTGTGAAGACGGGACATTGAAACCAATTGAAAATAAAATGATTTTAAAAATCTGTAACTTTTCTTGTCTTTGAAAGTGCCATCTTTGAAATTGGCTCTCCAGACCCTTCTAGCAGAAATGTTTGGCATGAAAGCACCTGGCCCCAAAATGTCTGTGGGTAGCTCTGCTTGTTGCAGACAGCATGAAACAGTGGACTAGATCTAAATGTTTTATGTTTAAAAGCAAAAATCCCAGTATTTTGCCCACAATAACAATGACATCACCATGTTGGTGATTGTGTAATAGAAGATATATTTTAAGACATATATTTAAAAAATGCAGTAATCAGTCAAATTCTTAGGGACACGCCGAACATTGCAAATATTCGCCTCATTGACCGACATCGTCAGTGGCTGATGTGTATCTGTTTATCTGTGTCACATTGATTTTGCGCTAATTAAATGTTGTGTTGGTTATTTCCAACTCAGATATTGCAGAAATAATCACCTTCTTTTTCCAGCACTGGTACAATTTGCATGCTAAATACCGGTGAGCTCCATGCAGCAGTGCGGACAGTGAGCAGCTGTTCAGCCCTGCATATCTCTTGGATAAGAAGAGAAATAGACTAAGCTGCAACAAGGCAGAAATGCTTATTTTTTGTAGATTGCTTTGCTCCCCTGGCACAAAAGGGCAAATAAATAACAAAAACGTTATGGGCATCAACTATCGGCCAACCTGTTCTTTTAACCATTGGTATCGGCCAAGTGCATCCCTACTTATTCTACATATATTCACTATGTTATGAGCCTTTTTATAGACAGCTGAGATAAAACACTGTGTACCAAAGTGCATATACATTATATGTCACTCTTCTGAAACCCTGTGTCTTTAGTATGTCACTGCACAAATATATCTGGGTTTAACTGACTAAAAATAAGTATTTAAATGCATCTCCACTGCTCCACTTGGCAATGATGTATTTGTGAAAAAATGCTTCACGTGTTCCCCTTATGGATCATTGAGGCCCAGAGGACAAGAGTGCATTAGAAGGTAAGCAAGGGGCAAAGGGATGAAGTGAAAGGATGAGGTTAAGTGGATCTTACTTTGCCTCCAGGGCCAGAGCAATAATGGCAGCAGCCATGGGAGCAGAGGCCGATGTCCCTGTGTGGCTGTCTGTACACCGATGTCTCAGGTCTGTTGTGATCTGCAAATATAGGAGAGGAGAAGGGGAGTGAAGACAGAGTCAGACGGGGATAAAAGAGAAATGAAGATGAATTGCAGTAATGAAAAAAGAAAAAAAAGGGAAAGGAAGGGGATGAGGGAAGAGTCAAAGACCAAAGGGGAGAAATTTCCAAAGTAAAGCCAGAAGAAAACAGATAAATGAGAGGAAGAGAAGACCATTGGTGGAGTTAGAGGCACAAAGGAGAAAATAGTGACAGTGATGGCAAGAAGGGACGGAGAAAGACAAACAGACAGACAGAGAGGGATTGAAGTCATGAGGATCAGGAGGATTTAGACACACCTGAAACTCCTGAAACTCACATTCCAGCTTTGATACACTGCCTCACTACAGATAACACACACACCTACACACACACAAACAGAGACTCACACACAAGTATACAAATCACCCCAAGAATTCAAGGAATCAATGCCCAAGGAGAAACAAAGGATAAAGAATAAGAAGGAATAAAAAAAAATTATAAAACTTGTTGCTGTATGTTCACTTTGATTCTTTGATTGTATGGACTTTAGACAGCCAACTAGTCAAGGAGTTTAACAGTGAGCCAGCCAAGAAAAGCTTGGCAAACTTCCAGTCTGAGTCCTCATCAAAGGACCTTTCCTGGACCATAAAGTTTGAGGGATTATCTGAAGACACACACACACACGCAGAATCTGAAATGGAAGTAAGAAGTGAAAGTGTTCCAATAGTATTTGAGTAGACAGCACAGTATGTGCTCAAGTAGATTAGACTGACATTGAGATATATGAGGTTCTACTGTAAGTGTACAAAGCCGGAGGGAAACTGTGAAGAATGTGTGTGTGTGTGTGTGTTGGTGTGAATGTGTGTGTGTGTGTCATGAATGTGTGTGTGTGTGTGTGTATGCCCGTCTGTAGCATCAGTACGAGGAATGTAGCAAGACACTGCCAGACAAGCTAGCTCACAGTGGACAACTGTCACTGTGTGATTTGGTTGATCTGAGTCAAACAAGGTCACACCACTGGACCCACAAGCACATACACACAAAGCCAAATTAATGCCAAATTGCATCACACTGTATTCTTATATATTGCACCTGAACATTTTCAACTTTTTAAAGCTGCAAATCAAAAGTAGTATTGAATGTAAGTTAGTGGTTATCTTGGACCTTTTTGGTTCATATCACACATTTAAAGCTTGGATTTCAATTAAGCACAAAACACACACAACTTGGACATCAGTGAGGACGGAATAAGCATTCAGGCTCTGCAGTAAAATCAATCAGGCCATAGGCACTTATGCTCCTTTCAAGAACTAATGCGCTTATATATGGGTGTGTGTTCAGCAGCAGTTCTTGAACTCTACCACACACACTTCAATCCTTACAATCTTTCGGTCGTAGTTCTCCCCGCTGCTGTAGGTGGTGGTCAGTGTGGATGAGCATTCCTCCAGGTACCACGGCTTGCGTCCACTCTCGGCTGTGCTGGAGATGGAGATGGTGTAGATGGAGTTGGTGTAGCCATCACAGGAGCAGTGGTCTCTGCTACGCCCGCCGTTGCCTGAAGCCCAAACAAAGATGGAGCCACGGTTGTTCCTCCCCTGAGAGGAATAAATCCAGAGAGGATACAGTAAGAGGCTGCAGATTTTACACACAGTACACAAAGAGTAATTACTGCTCACCAGACTTTGTTTTGGCTTAATGTTTTAAATGTTCTTTTAATGTCTATAAGAAGGGAAGTAACAAGTTCTGTGTTCAGTGTGCAGAAATCACCGTATAATGAAGGAAACATCGGCAACAGTGAAAGAGCCGGAAAAGATCAGTAGGCAGAAAAGACAGTGCAAGTCCTCAGCAGTCCTGCGAGTGTCTGGCAACAGATCTGATGTGATTTGATCCAAGTTCCGTAATCATTATGTTTCAACTGGGCAAAATATAGTGAAGATTTTGTTTTTTCTTTTAAAAGTTGGCACTGCTGAGTACCATGCTGCGTGAGTGAGTTTTTTTCCATGTCAGACAGAGGTAAATATTCATCTCTCCCTACATCAGTGACACGACAGCACGGCACTGACTGACATCAGACTGGTATTGCTTGTATTACTAGAGCCAATGCTTATCATATTAATAAGTAATAAGTGAGTTACAGGATATTACTATTAGGATGTTTGTTTTTGTGAAATTTCATTGCATCACATCTGATGCTTAAACTTAGCTTTGTTTTTTTCCATTTGTTTTCAGAAGGAAGATTTATTTTTGCACATTTTACTGAAATATTGAAAAAGATTAAATTATTTTTATACATGTGAATTATTAAGAATATACATGTTTTATTGTTTTTTTTGGAAGGGAATAGCTCCATTATCTTTTAAAACAATTTGTAATTTAATCTTACAGTAAGGCAATTTTCTAATCTTTGATTTGGTTGTCTTTATTGATGCTATTGTTGCTGTCTGTCTGCCCAGTCAGTTGTTGTTTCTTTCATTTAACATTTCCATCTTGTTACATTCTTGTGGTTGTGACCTTGTGTACTCTGTTCTATTTTGTTTCATTATTTATAGTTAAATCAGTCCTGTATATTCAGCTGTTTCGCTCAATCTTTTTAAGTAACTTATTTTGAAAATATTACATAAACAGTGGTATTATTTGTATTTGAAGAACGACAATAAAGCATCAAAAGACCACAAAAGGCCAGCATTAGAATTTACTTGTGTACACAAATATGAAAGGAAGCAAAGCAATAAAGCCACAAAAATGCAGTGCAGGAGTCTGTTTTCCAAAAGCATACTGTATATCAAATAACTTATTTGTATTTACAGCAAATAAGACATAAATAAGAGTTTTTACAATGATTTTATGAGCAAGTTTTGGCTGAACACTGTACACATACGGACATTTGTTATAACTGATGCCCATGACATGTTTAGCCAGGCAGCTGTTTAATATTTAAATCTATGTTTCCAGAAGAGATTACAGAAGTGTATTAAAAGAAACTCATCCCATTCAGAGGATCTCGCTAATTGATAGGCCAGGACAAACTCAGAGTGAACTTCCCATCAACTCAAAGTGTGAATAAAGACACCAATTATTGTACTAATATCGTATGCTGCCTGCTCAAGCCAAATGCCTTTTACTATTCAATCTGACATTGTGCTTCCAGAATTGGCAGAGTTGAAAATGATCTAAACCCATGCATGATGGACACACACAGAGAGTTACAATACTGGTGACGACCAACAGAGTTGTGAAAGCAAAGTTCAGCCAGGAGTCAGACAAGACATGTGACGGACTGACTGACACTGCGATTCACACTGTTTGTCAAGACACACACTCATCAGACTTGCGCGCACAGACACACACACACACACACAAGGGAATAAAGGGTGGAATGGAGTTCTTCAAAAGGGGGCTTCTGTCAGGCAGCGATAAGCGAGTGGAGCCCTTCTGAGAGAGAGGGGGATCAGACAGGAGCAAACACTGATGGAGAGCACTTTGAAGAGCAATAGGGGAGGAGACAAAGAATAAGAGCGAGAGAGACGAAACAGAGTTAAGAGGATGGGAAGGCGATAAACACATTGTCAATTTGTTTGCTCAAACAAACTGAATGAATTAATGAATTTGTCGATTGTTGGAGAATTTATTTCTAATTTCAATGACTAAAGAAGACATGCTGTAGACTAAATAAGCTGATAAGAGAGCTGAATATCTGAATTACCAGACTAAAATACACTTATTAGATGAAAACTTTTGCGCATACATAACAGAGACACACAATGTCTCTTTCTCTTTCATATATAACAAACTATAGCCAGGAAACAGAAAAACAAACTCCTGTCTTTCATACAAACAGCAACACAGACCAGAGCACAACCCTTTCCACAGCTGTCAGTGGTATCTCTAACACCTCGGCTCTCTGTGATAAACTGTCCCCTCCGAGTGTCACATAGGTACATGTTACACTCACAAGCATGCCATCTCCACTTAGATTCACAAATACAAACACACAGACACACACAGTGAAGAGCATGCAAGCGCATACACATACTCAACTTGTACCAGTTGGACAGATATCTCCCTCACTTCTGTCATCTTAAAAGGCCAGCCTGTCAGTAGCAACAGGGCACCTCTTCTAGTCACACTCCCTTCCTGTTCGTCCCTTTCTTTCTTCTCTTTCTTTTCTTTTTTTTTTTGTAACAACATGCCACAGGCTCGCAGCCTTCCAGTTTTTTCTGTCTCACCTCCTCAAAAGGTCTACATCTGCTTAACCAAATGGCAGAAAGCCAGTTGTAGCAAAATTTAGGAATGTGTAGAATTTGTATGTGTGTGTGTGTGTGAGATGTGACCAGTAAATTACTTCACCCCTCTTAACCTCTGTTATAGCTTTTTCACTCAACTCAGCCAACAACACAGCGCCAGCTTGTCGTTATGCAAAATAAGCTATGAATATGTAAATGAATATATGCTAATAGACCAGAGCTGCTCTCTAATGTCCAGAGGACTTTCACAGGTAGAGATAGCCAGGCAGGACTTAGGGATATGAGTATATGAGCGTGAAGCGCACACACACACACATCTGCTTGTGTGTGTGTGTTTTTATATCTTTTCTCACCATGTGAATACCAATTTAAAAGTCTTGGCTAAGCAATAAAGCACATGTTTATTTGTACATGTTTTAGTGTGTAAATGTGTATGCATGTGCCCACCATGCGGATGCCATTCTCAAAGGCCTGCCTGGCCAGAGATGCTGGTCCATCCACAGTCTTTCCATCATCATCAGGTCCCCAGCTGGCACTGTAGATGTCGATGTGCTGTGGCTGGAGGCTCAGAGACTTGGCCTCCACCATATCTGTTACATCTCCATCCAGCATTCTCACGCCTGATACACAAACAGAAATAATACATGAAACCAATGTTTAATCTATCTCCTGTGTATTTCCACATAACTGACTGAAAAAGTTTAACAGTATACTGTACATTAAGCTCCTTAGCTGTCCTGCAATTATAACCATAATAAATTCAGGCAAATCAAGTCATTAATTGGGCTAATCAATACATTAAGTAGCACATATTTCCGTGTCAGTATGCTTGCCCCACATAACACCTGCATGTATCAAGACAAACTGTCAGACATCACAATGACAACCTGTCAATCACATCACCATGGTATGTGGGACATAAACACATGATCAATCATTTTAGTTAAACCAGGTTGCTGGATTCATTCTACATCGGTTGATGAAAATCAGCATTGCACACCAACACTAACACCAGGAACAGACGAATGTTGTTAGCAGTGGTAGTTGTCTTTTCAGGATCCTGTACCTACAAATGTCATACACTAATGATTATCAAGCTTAACTACACTAACACACACACATTCATATGACACAAGTAATATATCTCTGTTGCCGATAAAACAGAAACATGTCAAAAACTGTTGATAAATACTGTTTCAGAAACCAGACAAATATAACCAATCACTCACCTCCTATTCTGGCATTATAGGCAATTCCCACTATGCAGTGGGAGTTGTTTGCGGCTGCAGCAACTTCGCCCGCACACCGTGTCCCGTGCCTGAGGAAAGAGCGGGAATGAACAGCTTATTAAACAGATCTCAAGCACACGTGTATACACAAGCAGGAGAGCACACACAAACTTGCCAGATAAACACGCAGCTTTTGAAGTGGAAAGCAAGAACACACATTTTCATAGATAAATGTGTATATACGTGTATATATGAAGCAACGCTAAACAAAATGGTTTAAGTGTAATAAGTGTTACAAATGTAGTAAACACTAGAAACATGTCTATAATTATTGCTTCTTCCTCATAGGCTTGACAGAGAATGGAAGAGGGGGTAGTTAAACATTTGTAATGCTGTCAGTACAAATATTTTTGGAGTTCCTCAAGGCCAACAGTCCCCAAATTTACAAACACACGCTTACGGAGAAATACGTTGGATTTCTTTTTGGCATTTTCTGAGTGCAGCTTGCAAGCACTGTGCTACTCAAGCGCGGACACACACACACACACACACTAACAATGATAGTTGGAACAATGTCCAACATCAGTAATAAGTTACTGTGACTACTCACACTACTCTTAACAACTAAACACACACTCACACACACACACACAGACACACACACACACACACGCACGCACACACAACAGGGTAACATTCCACCAGTAACTGCAGTGGTGACAATCGGCCCGGGTCAGCAACCAGCGTAAACAAACATAAGTATGTTTGCGTCCACCGCCTCCTCAAAAACACCACTTTCTGGATCGGCACAAACACACTCACGCACACACACACCTCCTGCAGAGAACATCTGCATCACAACACCCCCCGGAAACAGCTCTGACCGCTGCCATGGAAACCCAGCATCTAGCTATAGAAACCCCCGGGGAAGTTTTAAAGTCCAGGGAAGCGATCAGACTGAGGAAAATCCGTTTCACAGTAACCTGATGATTTGAGGTTAACATTTATTTAACAACATGATCAAAGGTTTAAAAAAAGTACTGAGGCATGACTCTCCACACTCAGCTACAGTGTATAGTTTATTATAGTATAGTATAGTATAGTATAGTATAGTATAGTATAGTATGTAACAAAATGGGTATCTTTCTCATATTTTTCTACTAGCAGTAAAATGCACAACATGCTTGAACATGGTTCTGGGCACTTGTGCTAATGATGAAACTGCACTAAGGTTTTCCCACATGCCAAAATGGCTTTAGCTTGACCTTTTCTTCCTGTGCTACCTATAGAGTATTAAAGCCATGTGTGGAAAATGATTTTGATAGTCTTAAACTATAGAAAGTTCACAGCAGGACAGCGAAGTACAAACAAGAAAAGGCAGAGGAATAGGAATAAAGTTTGACATTTTATGCTTAATTGATATCTGGCCGAGAGTGAGACGAGAAGATTGATATCACTTCCTTTTCTGTACGATAAATATAAGTTTCCACCAGCAGTTGGTTAGCTTAGCACAAAGACTGGAAAGGTAGTTAAAACACTCAAAAACAAATGATGAGTCTTGTTCTATGAATCTGTACAGACACCAGTGTAAGAACAACGCCAAAGCCAAGCTGCTCCCCCATTTCCAGTCCTTATACTTAGCTAAACTAACTAGCTGCTTACAGTAGCTTCATATTTACCAGATATGAAAGTGCTATTAATCTAAGGAAATGGAAATCAACAACTCAGCTCACTTGTGTTCAAGATATTTGACTTTAATAGGATTTTAACATTCCTCATTTCACAGATATCAGAGAGCCATTTCCATCATAAACACACATTTTCAAACTGAAAATATTCTACAATGATCTTTAGATTTATTTTAAGTTCATATCCAGTTTAGATATTAGATGTATAGACACCATTGGTATAGATACAGAAAAGGGAACACAATGAAAGGGTGTGGGTTGACCTATAACATATTAAATGGCTGCAAATCAGTGATAGGCCCCTTTGTCACAGTTAATGAGCCAAACTGCTGGCTCCCTTTTTCAAAACGCATCAACAGTCTTCACCCAGTTCACTTCACTCCACTAATCCATAAAATTGTCTGTCTGGCCGTCTTTCCAGTCTTTGCGTTTGCCTGTATTTTCCATTTTCTACACATCTGTCTCACAGTCACTCGGGGATCTTTCTGTGTTTCAACCAGGAACAAATAATGTTTATGTATTTTTTCTTTTTAGCTGTGTGTGTATTTTATTTTTTTTAGCTGTGTGTGTTTTGCCCCTGCTTCAACAAGCAAAGTCAGAATCATATATTTGTTGTTTCTTTGTGAATCAGGCTTACTAAAATTTCGGATTTTCAAATCCATCCTAGTAGTTCTGCTAGTTTCAAACAAATAATCCAAAGACACAAACATTACAAAACTGTTAGGAGGTTCACTTTCTGTGTTTTTAACAAAAGGATATCTGACTCGGACATGACAGGACCTTCCACAGTTTGTTTTGTCATATTGTCCTTTTCAATCTGTGTTGGGTGTGATGGATGAAGTCAGCAGACACAAGGAACTTCACTAGTAAAGCAAAAGATGCTGGTGCATCCAAATGTTTTACTTCAGAGAGCTGTAACACAGATTGATGCAGTGATAGCGTACTTGCTTTCTTCCTCCTGCTTACATTCAAAGCACAGCTGTTAGTGCCATTTTTACACACTGACAGATTAAAATCTACAAGCATTACGTCATTCTGGTTGCTATACAACACAAGGTTTGACAACAATCTGCAGTTTGCCAGATGTAGAGTTAGAAGTTAGCATTATTCCTCAGCTTCTTGCCTTTCAAGCATGATGACCAGTTTTAACTTGCCAGCCACCTCAAGCCAACCTTTCATATCTTTGCAGCTCCTATTACCGCTTTGTTTTGATTAAACTAAAATAATCTCCAGTTTGTAAATCCTATAAGATAATATGTTGTAAAAAGAATAGTAATGTATGAAGTCAAACCATTTTTTATGTCCAAACACATAACATCATAGTCAACTATGAATTCTGCCTGAAAAGGAAACCAGCTCATTAAGCTGCATCTGTAGGCCTCATGTCTCTTTAAGACAATGCATTACCAGCAGGGACTGAGCCACTGCCAAGGCACTTGGGCTGCTGCAGCCAAACACACATACACACACCAAAAATCACTCACTAAGCCAAACTGGCACAAGACAAATGCCTGGACAAGCGAGACTCTCTTTTTTCCTTTTACACACATACACACTTGAATACACACACCAACTCTTCCAAACATAATAACCACAATCCACCCACAAATGTCACAATCAAATACACTAATGTAACTCATCGCACCCACAACAAGGTCAGAACTCAGCAAATACAAACATATTGAGGAGCTTCTGGTAAAAATCTATCAGAAACCCACTGACGCACAGAAGAGCATTTGGCTGACTGTAACCCCCAAACACTAAAGTCACATCCTATTCTTTACCTAATAACCCTAATGTAAATTACATTTCTCTCTTTCATTAGATCTGGAATAGATTTTTTTATTCTTACTTGTTCTCATTGGTTGCGTCATATCGAGGCATGGGATCCATATCGTTGCCGTTGACATCGAAGCTGGCTTGAGGGTCCTGGAGGAGACACGGAGGTCAAAACAAGTACATCAAACATCAAAATGACAGTTGCAATAATGATCAGGGGACAGAAAACATCCAACAGGTAAATAGTTAGAAAGGTAGGTCCCACACTACGTGTGTGTGTGTGTGTGTGTGTGTGTGCGTGTGTGTAGAACTGTAGCTGTACCTGTAGACGAGCTTCTCTAACCCAATCAAACAGTTCACATTAGCATCACTCACAACAGTTTTGTAAATCGAATGTAATCAGAGCTAACTCAATCTGCTGTTCCTCTTGCCCTTCGGCATAAACAAATCCAGGCATTAAGAGTAGCTAATAACAGCAGCGCAGGCGCTGTCAAACAGGGTGTGAATCATTTTATCTACACAGTTGATTGATGACCTTACCTGCTGCCTGAGGCCAAGAAGATGCTCTAACTATTTGGCACTGGTACCTACCTACGACATACCTCGACATGCGCTTGAAGTATGTAACCACAGACAAATAAACATGTACACACAGCATACCTGCACACCCACAGGTTATAGGAAATGTAATCCATGAGGCATGATTGTCTGATCCAAATTACAGTAGCACAATCTAGTTGATTTTTGCTGTCTGTAACAGGACTTAGTTACGTGCTCAAAAAGACAATTTATTCCTACTTACAGAATATAATTTCTTATGTTATTAATATTCTAAATCAGTAAACTGATGATTTTTTTTTTCCTTTTTCCACAAGACAACTGTAATCCTGTGACTTTTTAATCCTGAAATTTCTCCCAGATGTTACAGATAAATTCCTACACCTCCCCTAACCTCTCACACAGACACTGACATACAACACGGCTGAAGACTCCAACATACACACACAGTCAAACAGAGCCGCCCTACACGCGCATACATACACACTCACGTAGTTCTGAAAGAGGTCTGGGTGGTTCCTCTCAATGCCATCATCTAGTATGGTCACCACCACGTTTTTACCCGTGTAGCCCCTCTTCCACGCCCCCATGATGTTCATGTCCGACTGGCAGTTATGGACGTCGTCATTACAGTGCTGGATAGATCGTGGCAGGAGATGAGGGGAGTGAAGGTTATAGAAGACAAAGGAGGAGAAAAATGAAAGAAACACAAACAAAAATTAATCAGTGTCTTGCAGTATGTACAGTCTTGTATGTCTATCGTGTTTTTGGCAGCCACCATAGTTTTCATTTGGAACGGGAGGGCGAAGCGAAGGCATTGCAATCTGCATCTATACCGCTAGATGCCACTAAATCCTACACACTTGGCATTTAAACTTTATGAGCGTGCCCACATGATGAAACTTACAGCAAGCGTGAGCATTACCATTTTTCATACAGGAGGTACAGTCCCACATAAACCAGTCCAAACAAGTTAAAGTCAAGTCTCAAAGTGTCTGAAAAGGTGTAATCTCAGACAGCCTGGTTAAACCGTAACATTGTGTGTCTTATTTCACAAATATAGACCCATGTTGAAAAAAGATACATAAATAGTTAGAGATCGAATCACTGAGTTTGTATAATTGTTTAACACATTGAACAATCTTAATGGTCCTAATGCAAACATCATCACAGAGATCAGAGAGAGGAAACAAATTCATTTCTTGAGAAGTACTGCATGCACAAGTGGTTATTTGTTTGCATGCCAAACATTTAGATATGGTATTGTGAACCTAAAACAAATTTAATCTGATTCATGAGTTGAGTTGTCATAAAAGTATTTTTTATTACAGAATCAAAGTCCAAAAACTCCAAGTTATGTCTGACAATTTGTATGCAGCTTCAATGTGATTCCAACTCATGTCAAGTCACTGACACTGGTTAATCTCTGTTTTTTTCATAAATCAAAAAGAACAAATGGACACACTGCCAAAAACATTTCACTGACAGAAATGTTTCAACTACAAGCTATGTCAGGAACTTTGTTAGACATGTAAACCTGAAAACACACACCAAGTTCAGAGAGTTCTGTCCTACAGCCAGAAAAATATGTCTTAAACCTCTGGTCAAAGTATTAGGAGTTATCTACACTAAGTTAACAATTGACAGTTGAGGACATTCAACCACACACACACACACACACAAATGCATAACTAAAAGAGCAATGATCTGAGGGTGTATGCAAACACTTGTGATAAGCAAGCAAATCTCGGCTATTGAATTTCTATGTACTGTATGTGTGTGTGTGTGTGTGTGTGTGTGTGTAAACAAGTGCATGCACGACACTGCCAATCTCAGAGGAAAGGTTTTGAAATGCAGGACCAGAGAGACATGTATATTTCTACCTCTGTGGGCTTTCCTGTGACAAATATTCATGAATAAACATGGACTGTCTTACCTTGACCCTAAATTCTCTCTTTTGAAATTGAGCAAATTCAAAAATGTAATCACTACGGCTCTTCTATTCTTTCATTCAGTAAAACACACGCAGACAAATCCCTCGGCTCCACTGACCCTACAGTAATCAGGATCATGCCACGACCTCGGCTAACCTTTGACCTACAAACTGGATAAATGTGGGCAAATAACGGCACACAATCTTCTGAGAAGAATGGCCGAACGCAACGTAGATGAGGCTAAATTATATTGAGCTCTACTTTTGATAAATGTGATATTCTTCTTTCGGGGCAGTAAACATACATCAGAGAGAGAGAGAGAGAGAGAGAGATTCTCTGTTACGAGTATACAGCGTACTCACAATGTACCACATACTGCTCCACTTGGCATCGTTAAAGAATATGTTGTTCTGGGCCGGGCTGCTGTGGGCGGGGCTTGATAGAGAAAGGGGCGGTGCTGGCTTGTAATCCCTCTTGATCCTCCTCTTCACCACCTGCTGCTGTATCCACTCCACCTGAAACACGCAAACACAGACAGGAAATTGTAGAAAATGTGTAGGCATTAAGTAATACCACACAGTAGTAGAATCACTTCACACATAATACAGTGAATCAATAGGTGGAATTTCATCAAAAGAAAGACTTCCTTTTGTTATGGGTGGACTGTAAGATGAGACAATGCTGAAGAGAAATTAAGTTTCTTATTTCTAAAGGTGATTTGTATTTCAAAGAAAAAACGTTTTCAAAAATGTTGACAACGCTCAAACAACGCTGTAAAGTCATTTCAGGCTAAGGTGAGCAAAAACTAAATAAAAATATCAACTGAGAGAAATATACACAAGAACTACATGTGAAAACCTGTAAATCAAGAAGCATCACCAGAATCTTGATATATTATTCGTAAGGTATCCTTTTAGCCATCTAACACTTTCTATGCATTAAACCCAAGAGCTTTGCAGTGGACAAACATTTTTTTTCTCCATCAGTTCATTTCTCCTTCTCTGCAAAATGGACAGACTAATACACACACACATATGCTCCAAAGACATAAATGTCTCTCAGGTAACATCAATCTCTCAAATGTTATGGGCTCGCTTCAAGGCGCAAGGCATTCCTTGGCAGGAATCTCGCTCCACTTTCAGACGGAATTTTCCGATTTCAAAATCAGCATTGTTGGATCTGAACAAGAGGGCTGGACGCACTTGCTTGGCCCTGGTCACCTCTTTTTAAAACCCTGAAATCTTGTGTTTAGTCTAGATGAAGTCCTGCAGACCTCATGCGTCTAAAAAGACTCCACAAGAAGTTTGCATGTACCAGCAATGATGACAAGACAAAAACTGGAATGTTTGCAGGCCTACAAGTGGCACACCATATAGAGGGAGCATGCGTAAAGCTGTGAGAGCATCCTGAGATGTAAATATTTCTGTAATAAATTATTCATAGATTCTTCTAACTGTAGTTGGGTATGATTCTTTAACACCATACAGATTACATTAGGATCCTTTCAATTTACTTCAGGCATTTTAAGATGAGATTTTGTGGTGGAGCCACTGCCTATTTATACAGTACTTTCAAAGTGTGCACTTCTCCTGAAATGATCGCCACACCATCTACTGTGAACTAACAGCCTCTAGCTGTATGCATGATGTATAGACAAGAAAACTCTGCTCACAACAGATAATCAATGGAACAATTTTCACACTGAAAAGGTGTTTTTGTTGCTCAGTTTGCCAGATCCAGAAGTTTGAGGTTTCAGTGAACAATGTCCAACTGCAAAGACAAAGCATTTCTCCACATCAATACAGCTCCAGCAGACAGAGAGGAGAAGAGAGAAAAGCTGACAAAATGACTGCAGAGTGATTATCTGGTCTCATGCACTGAAACAATCTGCCAGGCTCTCCAGAGAGTTGGAGAGGGAGGCAACGAGACAAGATAAGACGAGAGAAGGGGAGGTGATAAAGAGCTGAAGAGAACAAGTCCCAGGAGAGTCAATAAAAAAAAGACTGAGCTGGAAGGAGGGGGGGTGAAAACAAATAGCAAGTGAGACCAAAAGACAGCAAGTGAAGAGAGGAAGATTGATTTTACAAATAACATTGATTTAATAACTCAAGTATGTATCTCTTTATAGATCGTGAAGGAGGGGAGAGAAAAAAAACAATTCTGTAGATGGCGTAATTTAATAACTCAAGAGTGTAGACCTCCCTTTTAAGAGGAAAAAAATATAGGAGAAAAAGAAATGGCGAACCAGGGCAGAGACAGAGACAAAGAGTAAAAAACCCAGTGATATATTTTGTTTTAGCCGTCTGCCGAGGTCTCAGCTCATTTCACTCCAAGTTCTGTCAGGACCATCAGCTTCAAAGCAACCGTTTACACACGCCATTAGCCTCAAAACAACACTGTCATCAGGAATTGTGCGTGTGTGTCGGTGCAAAACCACTGGTGTATCATTACAATCTGCATATATTAGCATTGCATCAACCGCAATCTTCGATCAGCAGTGTAATTCTTAACTGCTCTTGTCCTTTAACTCGGTAATTCCAGGAAGGTCGGACAATGAACGCGTCCCTGCCACTCATGTTTATTTTTCCACAGACAGACGCGATGGAGTAAAGACTTTACAGATGTCGTTAAAAAAAAAGAGACAATTTTGATGAAATTGACGAGAGCCGGGAATGTAAAGGACCAAACCAATGCCCAACTTCCCAAATGGAGGACATGAACTGAAGAAGTTTCATGCATCTGCGTGCTAGCAAGTGTCTTTGAGCATCAGCCAGGCACTGCTTTGTAGCTGATGATGACCTCCACCTTCATTGAAATATCAGCTATCAATATTGCCATATACTTTATATCCTACACTGACTTCTATCTGCAGCAGAAGAAGTGTTCGTCTACCTTAGTAGTTTAGTGCAGATGATACTGGTTTGCTGTCTGAGCTTTCCTCAACTTTTCTGAAAAATAAATTGTTCAAACAAAGAATTTTGTCATTTCAGGTTTTTTCACCTTAATACTTAATACTAGTGAAGGTCAAGATAGATCCCAAAAAAAATGTTGGGTAGTGAATTTGTAAAACACAAATATGTTGTCGTCAGTTTACATCTAAAGTAGTTAAGATTCAACAGTTGTGCAGCACTACATGCTGTAAGAATCTCCCGTTGATCATCAATGTCCTCATTTTCACACCTCTCATCATCACAACTGGACTTTTTTTCCCCAACTGTGACAATATCAATATAAGTGCAAAGAAATAATGAATAAGTCCAGAGGTTTCAGTGGGAATGTGGTCAATACTGACATTAATATCATGATGTTTATATACACAACTCAGCCCCTACTCTCAGAAGGGCTGGTTATTTACTTTTATTGATCGCTCTAGCAACATATTGTCAATCTTCTTCATAAAGAGCAGTTCCACCACAGTCTAACGTTTATATACAGGTTACGTGTACGGCTACAATGTTTACAGTAGAAGTATCTGCTCATTCCACTAAAAATACAGTGGACAAATTGTGCAAGTGTTTTACTGTTCCATGTTATATATTTAATCTCTACTATAGTGAAAAAGCTTTTGTTTCTTTATGTATTTGAAGTAGTTCCCTACTTTCTATCTTCATACTGCTGCTGCTTACATGGGTGGCTTTGCATTTCTATATTTACAAAATACACTTTTGTCCTCCACTTGCTGGATAACCCAGAGCACATAAATGGTATCCAACAGTTTTTCTAAAGCTATCAAGTGCAATGTCATCCTTTGTTGTCCCTGATAAATCACTTACTGGCCACAGCCTTCAGTTATCAACCTCAATTGTGTTACGTTTGCCAGTCTCTATCCAAACAAAGATAATATTGCCCCCTATTATTGCCTCTAAAACTTGCCCGTGTATCACTGCCTTTGTTTCGGTGCCAATTCTCTGGCTGGCTCTGAGGCATGACGATTGGATCTGCTCCATTCTTTTTAACTCCAGCTTGGTGGAGCAGAGGAATGATCTTCTAGCGCCTGTACCTCTCCGTCACTCTCCTTTTTTTTCTTTCCTCCCAGTCCGACTCCCTCTCCCATCTCACTCCTTTACTTTTTTCATCTCTCTCCCTCGTTTGCTTCTTCCCTGCCATCTCTCCTTCGCTGCATTTCAGGTCTTCTTCTTCGCAGATGCCCATTTTTCTCTGAGATCAGCTGTCTTTCTCTCTCTTTCCCACTCCAACCCCCTTCCTCCCTCCCTCTCTCTCATTTGCTCTCTGTGTAAGGGTTTGCAGGTGGCTCTTGCTGGCTGGGTCAGTAACCAGGGGAAACTGGGGAAGAGTTCACTTCAATAGAACAAATGGGAACAAATTGATCCACTTTCACTGCTGTTTTTGAGATGCTATTTGAGTTTCAGGCAAAAGAACTGAAAGCTGTGAGTTTTAAAAAAGGTCAAAGGCTATTGTAGTAAAACACCCATAATAACCTTTGGACAGACACAAGAAGCCAGATCTTGTGCTCTCTTAATTCAGAGCCTCAGCCCAAACACAGCACACAGTCGCGCAACTTATGATGGTCTGAGCCCTGTCATGCTGTGCTGGCCAGCTGTAGGTGCGCGTCTCAGGGCGTCAACTAATGGTTCATCTGCTAAACAAATTTGAGGCAAAAGCAGATTCTATGGCAGAATGCCACAAAAGCATCCTGGCTTTATGGAAATCTGTACCTGGGACTGTGTGGAGTCTCATAATACCTGTGCGTATGCAAATTACTCCTAAGGTCCTGACAGGTACAAAGGCTCCATCTGTTGTTTCCTTGATGCTGCGACTGTCCTTGTCTCCCACACATGTTCATGAATACAGTGAGCCCTAAAGGGGGGGAAATCTATGAGCCATAGTGGCTAAATATTAAGCAGAAATAAGGAGTTTTAACTGTATAATAATTAGATTTGAGCTCATTCAAGTTTAACTATGTGGCAACATATTTTCCCTTATTTGGCGTGACGTCAACAAGCCTGTAACTCATAAATACCAAAAAACACTGAAATTTGATTTTGTCATCACAGCCATTTTGCATTTCAGTGTATCCCGGCGAGGATTCAGCTGCGGACCACACCTGGTTCTCAGTTTTCCTGCACGTCTCGATAAATGACTTCAAGTAAACAAGAGTCTCGCTAAGTGAAACCGTCTGGAAACACCATGCTCCTGCAACAGAACACTGTGGACAGACTGCCGCGGAGGTGTTCAGCAGTTGTTGCTCTCTACGGATCTCTGCACTGATCTCTGCACAGACTTCAAAAAGGACATTATAAAAGGGAGAAACAACCACAGTAGTACTCTAATTGTTGTTTACAGTAAACTTGAAATTGCTGGAAATAGATTTCAAACAAAGCAGACGGAGTATACTTGAACTCATTTCACACCAAAAACTAATAACAGTGCACAGCTACAACAAAACAGTCTGTGGCTGTCCAAATTCTCTTGGAACTCCCTATATGAATGACTCATAGGCGTACGTCAGCATAGCTGTGCAAGGTGCAAGCTGAGTGCTGCTTAGGACACAAAGAGAAGATCTAACTAGCAGGTTCATAAATGCCATTTTAATTGGCATAATCAGCTTATTTCATCACGTTGTCTTTCTGATTGTATTCATATTGTGATATACGGAGGGAAAACTACAAATGTACATTTAAGATGTAACTGCCTTTTCAGTAATGTTACAGTAACATTACAAAACCTATAAAGTACAATTATAGGACATTGAAGACTTAACTTAAAAATAAGAAATTAATAAAAATAAATGTAATTCTTTTGAGACTATAAAATTAGTTAGGCCTTCACTGTCTGTTCAGTGGTATACGAAATACTGAGTAACATCTATACACAATGTAAATCCATAACGATCTGTAGCGATGTGGAGCTATCAAGGTGAAGACACACTCTCTCTACTGGCCAATGGCGTTGGCAGAGTCATCCACCAGCCTGGAGAAATAAGTGGTCTTTGACCTGACAGGCAAGTGGCACTGCAGTTAGGCGGATGCCATAAAGTGGTAATCTGTGCTGTGCTGCATCACCATGGTAACATGCGTGCCAATGAGTACTGTGGATGGCAGGGTGCGCCTTTCATGGCACCGCTACACCCATCTGACTCACTCACACACAAACACACACGGCTGTCATTATTACAAAACCTGATTGCAAAACATCATTAGCAGTATGCCAGACTGCGCTGGTGCCAAACTAGCCGTCATGTGGATCCCAAACCCACAGACAGGTCCGCAGATTACGCTGAAAGCGTAGCCAGTCGGGAGAAAACACTGACAGCTCCATTCCTCTTCACTCCTCTTTTCCTTTATTTGGTTTCTCTAATCCATCTTTCCCCTCTTCCCTTCTCTCTTCAGCCCCTCTTCACTCTCCTTCTGTTGTAATTGCTCCTTTTCCCTTTTCTGTCCTTAAACTCTCCTCTCTGATCTAGTCTTCTAAAATCTCAGTCGCTCAGCCAGCTGGCATGAGGACACAAACCTTCTTCCACCATGGCACAGTGTCAGGCCCGAGAGAGCAAGAGGACCAAAGACGGAGGGAGGGAGACAAGTACGCTGAAAGGAACAGTGATAAAAGGGGGTAGGAGTGGGAGTCAGAGAGAGAGAAAAGAAAAGGGATGACAGGTAAGGACAGCAGGTGGACAAAACAAGCTGAGTGGACTAAAAATAAGTAGAGAAAGAAAATGAAATTGAAAAGAAGCAAGGAGATAGAGGAGAACAAGATAGGTGGATAACAAAAGGTGACAGGCGCTGTCTTATTCTTCTTATTCTTATTGCTTTCTGTTTTGCTCACTATTTCTTTTCTATTCTTCCATTCTTTTTATAATCGCGCTGATAAATCATTATCATTCCTCAGCAGCCAGCATGCATTCATGTGCATGCACAGATACAAACAAACTTAAATGCGCTTGAATCCACTGCTTGGTTTCTCAGGATCAAGTCCAAGCCTGTTCGATAAAGTGAGCCGCTTCATCCAGCAGGGAGACATCCACATACACATCAAGTAAAGTCTGTATCAGATACAAAGATGATTTTTTTTTTTCTTTTTTTAAAAGGAGCATGAGGTTTTAACATGTTAAGAATGAGACGTTTCGACAAACTGTTTTGTCCTAAAGTTTGATTTAGCACCTCGTTACATGTATTTTAATTAAGTTCAGGTCAGAGATGTGCAAGGTTCAGGTTTCATTAATAATGCAGCCACGGTTTGATGACCTGGTGCAGTGATGAGAGGAAAACTGACAGGACACGAGTAAGGGTTTACCTTAGGTCAGACGCTCTTGTTTGAGGCAGTTCACAAAAAAAAAAAACCATACTGTTAAGTTGACTAAGATGCATTAGCAAGCTGGTATTTTATTTAAGAAGACAATCATAACCTAGGTAAAGTAGAAACCATGTCAAATTATATTAAATAGATTACATCTTTTAATATGCTCTGACTAGTAGCCATAGTGTGGTGAATGGCAAAACTTCAGGTGCAACTCAATTTCATTATGGCTGGAAAGCTGCAGCACTAGTTTTATCCATTAGTTGAGAGTTAAGGTCTGAAACACAGCCTGGTACCTTAATATACTGTAGCAAGTCAGTTTCAGATAATCAGCTGCCATGGTAGGGGCAGGGTTTTTCTCTACGTGGAAGGGAAAATTGACAATTTCCCTTCATTTTGACTTAACAACTTCTTTCTGGGACTTCATCCTGTCCTTGAAGTGGCCTTGTGAACCTCACACCTGAAGAGCAGTCAGGAAGACGCATTGCCCTTATTCATTCCAGGTCTTCAGACCTCTCTGTAGCCTGAAGGCTGGATATGTGGTTCACATAGGGCTCACTTTTTGCCTATTTCTATTTCAAGGAAATGATTAATTCTGTAATCTCCCACCTGACCTCTAAGCCTATCCATCAAACCTGAAGTTTCTTGGTTTGTGAAATAGAAAAATAGCAGGCCTCATCTATCACAATTCATTTGTCAGGATTGTGATCAGTCCGGCGTGACATGTCAAGAAAACTGGGATGTTCCTGCAATCTTATAGTTCCTGTGCTGTGCAATAACCCATTTGTGTGTAGGTAAAGGACCAGACAGCAGAGTCAACTAAGTTGGTGTGTCAAGTGTATTCCACACAGACATGTGCATCAAATACAGCCTGGATCTGACTGTATAATGTATGACATCAGCACAACCTTTTAAACAGGTAATACATTTACTTCTAAAGTGGAAGTTGTGATTATCCTGTAATGGCATATTCCATAAACATACAGATCAGTGACAAATTAAAGGAAAAACCATAATGAATGAGTGAACAAACATGACGATACAGGACACACTGAATTGTTTGATGAGAATGAAAAGTATGTGAATTAACTGAACGCCTATGGGAGAATGGAGACGGTTCCAGAGAGTTTGTGTTGATTTTTCCTTTAAATTGTCATCTGAATATACCGTTTGTAAACAAATGAACACACACATGAATAAACGATAAATGGTCTTAAGGAAACAATTTTCCGAAATACCTGCCTACAAGTAAAAAAGTAAAGAACTGTCTCGTGTATTAGCGTAAAAGTTCTGACAAGACAATCGTACTTCAAGGACTCCAGGACTTTCGACTGCAATTCTTTGTATTCATCAGCAGATGGAGTTCCACATTTAGATCCCGTGATGACAACTAACTCATCTCCAACACAACTTCAAAAACTGAGGAACTAATGAACAGCTAAGAAAAGCTAGTGTGTGGACCTTGAGTTATGATTATTTCATCAAACTATCTCCACTATCATTTAAATACACAAGAAACACATACTCTGTGAACTACTTTGATTCTAAACCTGTAATTCACTAAACAGTGCAACAGGCTTACCTTGGGCTCCATGGAGATGAAACTATGGCGACCACGGCTGGACAAAGTTGACCTCTTGATGGTCCGACTATGGAAGAAGTGATAGTGGTCTTTGAGATCCCCAATCTGCAAAACATATATACAGACTTAACATATATACAGACCAAAAAGTATTCATTCATTCCATAACCCTTTCTATCTCACCATAACTCATTAGTGCACTTTAAAAACAAGATTTTGTTTCCACAATGTCCTAAAAATGATTATGAGTAACTGCTCTGGCATTTTTATTTTTGAACATATGTTTGCGCTCCACATTTGAAACAGATATCAGGCACATATACAGTATAAACATAATACATACACATGATGTTAGAGTTTATCATAGTCATTAATTCCTTGGGTAAACTCCACAACAAACTCCACAACCACCACAGCTGAAGTATTCGAAAAAGTAGTAAAGTGACATTTTTTCTGTGTTGTTGATGTTAATGTTTAAGTTTTTCTATGTTTATGTTTTATACATAAGGTTTCGTTGAGCTCAGAAATAAAGACATGGTAAGATAAAAGGGACGTGGACTAAAAGGTAAGACATAAAGGGCAGACAAGTCAAACAAAGACAGACAAAGACACAAAAAGACACAGAGACAGACTGAAAGTTAGACAGACATACAGACACACACAAACAAAGACTTTGAGTGACAGAGAGATGAGGAAGACAGAGGATCTGCAGACTGACAATGACAGACAGACGGCAGGCTGCTGGACGGTGATTAGTTTTAATAATTGATAAAGACCATGCAATCCCTCAGATGATCAAACTGTCATGGCTGCCAAGGGTCCTATGGTGCGTCACTGATCCATGGCTGAGCTCCACTACCAGAGAGCCCATTAGATCATCTTTCAGCTCAATGCTCATGCACACACACACACACACGCTCCAACTTCCAGACTGATATACTGAGAAACAAAAAAAGTGCCAATAGGCCTGGCTGAATCGCCTTTCAGCAAAGACCAAACACTAAACACACAGCACACATCAGAGGCCTTGGGTAATCACATTACAAAGCGTTCTATATACTAACAAAATGTGCTTCAACAATAGGCGGCTACCAGTTTGGATGCTTCTCATAGTGTAAACAGGTCTCAACATATCGCGCTTCCACTGCCTATTTAATCTACTCAACATCTGCACTGCCATTAAGCAGGCCACCTTCCCTCCAGGAGTGTCTGCAAACAGGGAGCTGCTGGAAAAGCTCTACACACAGTATTTAAAAACCCCTAAAGCACAGATCTAAACTTCTGCTCTGCACATAAACTAATAAACGTCTTCAGGTTGCACTATATCTCACATTCAGTGTGCAGCTTCTTGACCTGAACTCTAGTGTACAAGTATGGCTGGAGTTGTTACTGTTGTAGCTATGACTACATGTGACCTACAGATGGAAATGCGGGGCTTATATTGACAGCTGAACTTTCATTCTAATGCAACAAACCGCACAATGAATCATAACTTCAGCATAACCTTTGGTCACTGGGAAGTATGTTGTAACAAATTAGTGAAGTGAAATCACTTGCACTTCAGTGATTCATGATGTCTTGCATCACGGACACTTTTACTGAATGTATTTATCTTCCAAATAATGGATTATTAATCCGACCAGGAATTGCTAAAAGGGGACTTTTTCCACAGAAATTAATCTGAGTGGGTCATAGTTGGGTCAAACTACAAGTTCAAGTTCTGCCTGAATAACTGTGGCTCAGATACACACTCGCTGTCCACATTAAACAGAACAATAACTGGCATCACACAAGAAGATGAGAGCTCACACACACACACACACACACACACACACACACACACACACACTGCAGGATTCTATCATTGCAAAAAAATGTTTATGTTTTTGTAATGTGTCCACAGACGCTTCTAACATCTTGCTATGTGGTGCAGCGGCTGCAGTCTCCCAGTCGATCACAGACACAGTGTGATTAGCTTGGCTCAAAAGGATCCGTATTTGTGAGGTCTAAATGTTATTCTTGATAACTTACTTCAGCAGAACAAACTTTCATAACAAACATCCTGTTGGCCTAATGCCTTTAACAACGGATGCATCAGTACAACCTGATTAAATAATCTCATAAGTCATTATTGCTGCAACCACCTCCTGTCCATGTCTGGCTACAGATCATCGCCCTCCTTCTCCACAGCTCCAAATCCTCTCCCAGTTTGAACACATATCCACATCTAGGGCCTTGTCAGCTGATTTTGACTCAATTTGGACCAGTGTCTCAGTCTGGGAAGGGGGCTCCATGCTTAAGAGGATTACCCAGAATTCCCCAACGAGGTGCTCTCTCACTCCATGCCAACTCTTTTCATCCATCCGTCCATCTATCGTCCCTTCTTTCGCTCCCTCCTCCTTCCATCTCCCAGTGTGTGGTTATCTTTGTCTGTTCTCTTCTTTCCACCCCTGTCAAGAAGACTATATTGTCCCTGTGTCACATGTTTTCCCTACCCATCCCCCCCTTTTCTCTCTCTAACTACTTTGCTTCCCTTCTCGTTTAGCAGTTACATCCCAAAATCACTTATCACAACCAGTCCAATCGTTACCAAAACTCCAAGTAACTGTAATCAAATGAAGGAACCGTTACAGTGCATCTCTTTGCAACCTACAGCAGCATCAACCTGCCAAAACATGTGCAATAAGCCAGCTCCCTTCACAGGTTTAATGCCGTTCACCATATATATATATAAGTGCTGCACGGATATAAGAGGGAGGGGGTTGATGATGAGGATGTCAAAGTTCACATTAGGAAATCAGAGTGTGCTGTTATCGCTCCCATGGGAGCGGCTTTCAGCTGACCCCAAAACCAGGAAGTGAAGTAAAACTCTTGTCTATGAGGTGTCAAAGTCCAATGAACGTTCCATATTGAGATGGAAATTAGGGCGAATGGTGGGGGTTGGGAGCGACACTGCACTCCACAGGGGAATTCCTATTGGGGGCTGGTATGGAAAGGGGGGGGGCTCCACACATTAGTTCCCGTCAAAGAGAGGGGATAAACGAGGCCATTAAGGCCTGCTCTCTGGGGAGTATAGTGGGTGGGCGGGCTGGATAAGTCGAGGAGGGAGGGGGGGTTCAATAGCTGTTGACTAGGCTACCCCACAACAACCTGTCAGAATGCCCCCCTCTGTTCCACGCTGTCTTCATGTTGAGGGCTGGCAAGTGCAGGCTTGAACTACCCACGTATTTCGGTCACGATACTCTGGAGTATGTGTGGGGTCCACGTTTGTGTGGCATAATTCTTTTGTCCATAAAAAACACAGGATTTCTCTTTCAACTCTTGAAGTGACCAATTAAACCACTCCTCCTGGACCTGTGCAGACTTGTGTGGATTAATAAAATGACATAATGTGAAGATAGTCAAACAAAATCTCTTACAAGTGTTTCCTTTGTATGTACATTTTTTCGACAGCTGTGGTTGGGATTTATTTTAGACTACACTAAGCAATGGCCCTGACATTGGGGCTTAAGTGTCAGATCTAATGGAAATTATAGGGTCGTACATTGTAGAGGCATGCATACGCTCGGGTCATTGAAAAATAATGTCTCCAATTTTTCTGATGAAGTATGACATGCGTCTTTTAAGATTTTCTCTTGTAGTGGTGCTTCATCATTAGCTGCTCACAAAAACCCATTAGAAATACATCAGCAGTTTGAGAATACTGACAAAAAAGTATGGGAGCATCTACTAAAGGATTCATCCTAAATGTAAACACAGCTCAATAGTGGTGTTTTACAGCAGCTGATCCAGCGGGCCTAGTTATGGACTGAGCCCAGGTTACACTCACACTACTGTAGAACATAAGCAGAGAAGTGCAACTCAAACCTCCATCTCTTCTTCCATGTAATGTTTAAAAAAAAAAAAAAAAAAACTTGCCACGTTTTTCCACTTAAAATGTTACTGTAGCCAAGTAAAGCAGGACTGGTCAGGGGACGTTTTTGAGTCCTACACATGGCACAAATACGACAGCGTTAAAAAAGAAACAACATAAGAATCTGTTTGACTGTGCACCCTTCGATGTAAATTAACTACAAACCACTTGTGTGTCATAAGGACCAAGCACATGAGACTGCTGTGGCTGTGAGGCTGATAGTGAGCTCCCTGTGGCTGCAGCCCGCAAACTGAACATGATCCGCGGAAACACAGCGAGGAGGCACCTGTTGTGCCATCCTCCTCTTGGTCTTCTTTTATCGGTTTCCTGCAGCTTCTCTTCTTGTCTCAGAGACAGATAGCCACAGAAAAAAAAAAGGATAGGACTGGCTTCGAGAATCACAGAGACGTTTCATGGCTCGTGTATGGACCTCAGACCTTTGACGTTTGACCTCGTATGGTTGGTCTACTGGTAAAGGAATAGCAACCACCAGCCTGACCTGCCCCACTTTTAAGAGTTGAAAAAACAAGAAAACAAAAGACATAAATAAGACCTACCTGTCCCATGTTCCTATAGCCATATTTTTCCGCTATCCGCTCGGCCAAATCGGCTCCACCGGCTATCCTAACTGCCCAGTGGTTGGTGTAAATCCGAGCATTGCACGGCGGGGACGCAAAGCCAAGACTGAGCGCCAGGACGCACAGCAAGCTTCTTCTCCAAGCGGCGTTGCGGACCATCTTCCCCCACTTTTAACCCGACTCTTCTCCTCCTCCTCCTCCTCCTCAGCCGACCAGGCAAACAACCAAACTTCTCTTCTCACCGAGCAAGACTCTCATAGAAACACAACTATCCGGGGCAAAAACACTGAGAGAGACAGAGAGAGAGAGGGAGAGAGAGAAAGAGAGGGAGAGAGGGGGGAGGAACGGAGCCCCGAAGAGGAAAATATATACCTTATCCTCAAACCTCCGCTTTCCACATGGGAGAGTTGGAAGTTTGCGTTTCGTGTGCCCTCTCTCTCTGTTCCTCTCTCTCTTTTTTCCACCGCGGAGGAGGAGGAGGAGGAGGAAGTGTACGTGTCTGCGCGCCGTGCGTCTTTGCGCGCGAGTTCGTGTACGCCTGTGTGTGCGCGCGGAGCTCCTCAAAGCTGATTTCTCTTCTCCACGAACAACTCGGATGTTGGTTGTTCAGCTCATCGGGCTTTCATGTGGCGAAATGGCTACAGCGCCTCCCCACAAATAACTAGCTGACACTCTGGAGAGTAGAAACAACTAAAGCCGCGGGGTTTCCCTGCCGAGCTCCGCTGGGTCTTAAAGACACTCTTTCTCGGATCCACCGCAGACCGCCCGTACCCCAGACACAGCACAGGGGGGGTCAAACTGGGGGCCAGGGACCCACCCGGGGGCTCTCCTCCAGGAGGATTAACAATACAATTCTTAAGCCCAAACTGGCCGGAAGTTATCCTAGTTGGACAATGTTAAATGATGTCTTTTGATTTGTCTTAACACTCAGTTGAACTTCCAAAAGTGACAACAATCTCAAACAATGTGTATATTCAGGACTAACATGTTAATGTCTATGTGGCCACTTGCATAGCAAGGAGGCATTATAACACAAGTGGCCTCAAAAGTTACAAAACCTTGAGTCTGTAGATTTCTAGAGAGAAACCATAACCGTGGCCCCCTGTTTAACCCTAACCCTGACCCTGCCCTGACCCTATTTAACCCGGGTGCAACATTATTCCTAATCCCACATATCAAATATAGATGAAGAAAGTACAAGGGACGCAACATCTTCTGTTAAAACATTTATTTTGTTTTAATTTTGCCCACACGGTTAATCAGAAATAATATTACCAAAGCACTAATATGAAGAAAAACACAGTTATTTATGAAACATGATGAAATATTTGATATCATGTAACATGTGTATAGTCTGCAATAAAATATCTTGAAAATATGCAGAAAGTTTAGATGTTTACAGCATATATCTTATTTTTGGGTTTTGTTTGTAGACAATGAGAGAATACCCGTTAAATTGGGTCTATGTATTGAAAGAGTCTGTATTTTTTTTTTACTAGTGTGTTTTATTTTAAAATAATTAATACAAACTGCTGCACAGGAATGCCAGTGGTGTTATCCTCCCTAAAATTTCCCTTTAAGAAGTCCACCAGTTAACAAGTGGATGCATTACATTTTGCACTCCACACCTACACCTTGAAATCTGCTGTTGAATGCAAGCCTTGTCAGTCTCCTGAGCAATATTGACATAGACATACCAATGTAAAGTTGAGTAAACTATGACCTCCACCTCAGTCATCATCCAATGGGAAACAGCCACAGACATAAAAATGTATTATATCTTCAGAAAAAAAAAAAAACATGAATGTATTCTTTTCTCTGTCAACTTGATCAGTTTGATGATTATCTTCATTGTTTTGACCGTCCTGGCTTCTGATTAATAGTGCGGATTGCTTATAATATATCTTACAAAAAGTGGGTAAATTAGATTGAGTGAGTTTATCCTCTGCTAATCCCTGGACATGAGCTGGACTCAGGTGTGTTTAACACTGTCATATTGTAACCAACCTCACAGTTAACCCTACTGTATGCCTGGGTTACGCATCCACCGCTGCCATGCAGGCCGTCTGCCCTTGGCTATACTGCATATTTCCCCTTAATCAGTGAAGCTCTAGATGTCATGCCCCCCATCGCAACACAGGTCACAGCTGACTAAACGCTGTCATTATGGAATGCGCCTGGTATTATGTGCAGTTGAGCCTTTCATTCAAGGCCTTTGTTGATTGATGGGTTTTTGTTTTGCAGCAGTTTCCCGGGGATGTCTCTGTGCACAGCGAAAACTCTGTTCTGCATGGGACACAAGTGAAAATCAGCATAATTGCACTAATTGCAGCCAATTTCTCGCTGAATGGACCCCGCTGTCACATCTCACAACAAGCAGGGGGACAAGAACATCTCATGGTCTCCCAGATGGAGATGAAAGGGAATAGAGGAGGGAAAAAAAACACCCAGTGATCGTTCTCCATTCAGGCGGATGGAAGGGCTTGTAATTTAAAGAAAAAAAAAGGAGAGGAGACGAAACACAGCAGAAATTGATTTGAGGATCCAAATCAAGTACCCAGGTCACGAGGCCACCTTGAGCACCAGGGCCTCCAATTTCCATTCAGATCTTAAATGTCGCGATATCCTGCGTGACAGCCTCTCGGCTTCCCGAGTGTCTCCAGGGAGTGAACCGAGTGAACCCCAACAAAACGTCTTTGTCAACATCTGAGAGCCATGATCATGAGTGTCAACAAACACACTGAGGGGCATTCCTGTGTGCATTCCTGTGCCTCTCCAATGAAATAACAGGGTGCATCATGTGTTGTGGCCAAACACAACTTTAAAAAAAACTACCTCCACACAACCCCCATGATACAATACAATGGAAGGCCCCAATAGGAAACTGCGGCCAACAAGCTTTATTCAACAAGGACACAGCTAATTTGTTCATTCAGTATCAAGCCCAACATTTCTAGGAGGGGAACCTCCCACATGGTTTTCTTGTCCCATCAAGACAGGGGCGTTATCAAACAAGTACGCCTCTCTGGCATTCAAACGCATCTTGCAATTACCCATCGACCACTGCTTCTCCATAACCTCTCTCGTGTCTCCATGTTTAGCCATCATGGCCCATCCTTCGCGTTCTATCATTTGCTTTGCTTTCCTTTCCAGATGTTCTCCATTTTTGTCTGCCCGTTGTTTCTCTAATGAATCTGGATCCATCATTTTCTTTAGAACCTGCCTTTGGTTGACCTCAATGTTTTTCTTTATTCATTTGACCTACACTGCATCTTGTCTTTATCCCTTTTTCATGTACCTTCCTGTTCCTCAAGTTATTTCCTAGAGCCCATCGCACTTTCTGACCCCCCTTATCTATATCCCTCACTGGGTGGGCTTCCTGGGAGTTAAGGTTGACCTTTCAACTTCACTTTGACCTTTGACCTTGTTGCTGTAGGCTCCTGCACTTAGGCCACAATAGCACCTGCCACTCACCGACTTTCCATCCTCTCTGCTCTGCATCCCACCCTCCCATCACCACCCTTCCCTTCTTCTCCTCACTCTCTCCTTTGTCAGCCACATACCAGGGTTATATAGGCTATTCTCGCAGCACACACACTCTCTACATTCAGTGGAGAGAGATGGAAGAAGGGGGAGATAGAGAGAGTGCCATAGTCAAAGAAAACGTTGGTATCCCGCATCCATGAGGAATGTGAATTCTAATCTCTATGGTACCCATTCAGTAGTGTTATCATTTAAAACACACAGTTCAACACTACTCGAACAATGTGAGAAGAGTGTGTCAGGTTCGAATATCTCATGTGTAGGCATTCTGCCACTGAGGTCAACACATACTTGTTTGATTGGGTTGCATGATCTATTTTAATGTATGTATTAATCGTCTGTGTTTACTAGATTTCTTCAGTCGTCTTATGTCTCAAATATGACCCAGGTCAGTGTTATGCAGTATTACACAGTACATATGGAAGAATATCTTCTAAATAACAGGATTTAGGGGCGCCCAGTAGCTCACCTGGTTGAGTGTGTGCCCCATGTACTAAAGCTGAGTCCTTACCACAGCGGGTCTGATTCAACCTGTGGCCCCTTGTTGCGTGTCATCCCCTCTCTTTCTCCTGTCACTCTTCACCTACTCTATCAAATAAAAGCAACAAAAAAAGCCCAAAAATAAATAGGAGGATTTAATTTCTATGCTCCTGTGAGCTGTGACCCACCTGGTCTGGCTTCCTGTTTTAAATAAAGTACTCCTGTGTATGGTATGGACTCTTTAAGACGTGGCTATATATTGCCATCTGGTGGTAGCTGATGAGATTAAACACAGGAGATTGCAGTTGAATTCTGTCAATATTTTCACATTCATGTCCATTTCCACGATTACAGGTGGAACATTACGCTTTATCTTTTCTAAAGTAAGTTTCTAAAGTTTAAAATTATTCTATTTTAAAGATAAGTAATTAAAATATTGCAAGAAATCAACTAATTCATCCCTTTAAGGACCTTCAAACATCCTTGAGATAAATCAGATATTACTTGAAGAACATATTTAGTACCTTGGCAATATATGTAATGTCCTCATATAAGGGTGTAAAAGATTGTTTCAGTAACTTTGAATTGATGCAAGCAGTTTTTCCTCTATACTGCTTCTTACATTTCCCAAAAAGAGGGTGACATCATTTTAACTTTGTCCATTCTGTGTACCATTGTCTTTCCGAATCTATTCATCGTTTTGCATGACTGCATACTCATCCATTGTAACGAATGTGATTGTACTGAATTACTGTAGCAAGTCACATTCGGTCCTGTTTGTCTTCACATTTACACTGAAAGTTTGTGCTGTGACGACTCATGAGCCAAGGATCAAATCAATCCATAATATTAACATTTAAAAAATAAAAACTGGTTAATCCTTCTTCCTTTGATTTGGCAGTATGGTTTTTTTATTAATAGCATCATCGAATATGCATTTCACGGGAAAAGATGGTATCTAATGATAGTCACTGCAATCAGAGAGCCACCTGTGTCTAGCTCAAGCTGGGCCTCCATATGGCCAATTGGCTTTAAAAGACTATTAGACAGAACACAGTTACGGCAACAGATTACAGAACATGTTAATTTCAGTTTCAAGGAACTATTGTTTTGTTAGGAAAACAGGTGATTCATTTCACACAACTCTGCAAATTAACAGAACCTCACAAGTTACAGATTTGAAATAAACAGTTTTGGATCTTCAGGACAAACCAAAGAAAAGATACTTCAAAATTGAAATTTTTTTATATGATTTAATGAAATTGCTGAATTGCCATCCTATTGGTTTGCATTGATCATCATATCCTACAAATCCCAACCCAACAACAATCAGATTTCCTTGAGAACAAAGGTGCAGCCTCTGTGGAGTAGACAGTAGAAAAACCCATGTGAAAAACAGACAAATACAAAAAGACTCAGACAAGTCAGAGATCCAACTGCTCAGAACTTTTATTTCGAGGGAAATCAGGGTTAAAATTAAATTAAAATATAAAATTTAGATGGGCAAGTCTGTCTTTAAAGGGAAGGTGTTGACACAAGGAGAGTAGGCAGCCCTCCAGAAGGAGGGGAAATACAGGAAGCTACAAAATGAAGTTTGGGGGATGAGCCTGATCATTCAGGAAGTTATGTATAAAAAAAAGAAAAAGACGAGACAGATGCAGTTAGTTATTATAAACCCCACCCCCATCTGAAATGTCCTCATATGCAATCAGTGCTATAGCTCTCTCCTTTTCCTGTTTTTCTTTTTACAGGAAGTTTTAGATCCTTTGTCTTCTTCACTCGCTCTCTCACCATCATAATCATCTCATTCCGTCTTAATGTAACATCTTTTCCTGCAGTTTTGAAAAAAGTAAACAAAAGTCCTTCAAAAATAAAATGCAGCAACCACATTTCATGTTCTACTATTACATATACAGTATATATATATAAATACATACATAAATATCTTACATGTACAACCAATTTTGAAAAGGGGGGGGGGAAGAGAGAACCCAAAAGACTTATGAGGACTTGTGGAGGTGGGGGGAGCGGGGCAAGGAAGCCCAAGGTTGCTCATTGTGAGGGTAGTGTGTCTTTGTTTTTTGTTTTAGCTTTACATACACACACGCACGCACACAGCCTTTTGGGGGAGGGGGGAGTGGGAAGCATTCCTCAGTTTGCCCAGTAGGGGGAGCTGCCGTAGCTGGACTTGCTGCCTTGGGTCTTCTGCTGCATGCTGCTGGACTGACTGCGCTGACCAGGACCCTGTGGACAACGAGGAATATGTTCAGTCAATCATGTCTAAGATCAAGTACCCAACGGGTTTATTTAATTTCCCATGAGATTTATTAGCCCGTTCTAGCTGAAGGAACATTGCAAGGAACCTTCTAAAGGTTTTGGTCCCTGAGGTAGCATTTTTGTGAGGCCCAGGAACCATGAAGAAGGAGTTGTCAGTCAGTGATGACTGCTAAAAGCCTTTTTAGTGCAAAAAACTTTGACTATTTGGACGAAAGAGGCCCATTAATTGCTGAATAATGCACGGAAGCAGTCTTGTTTGGTTGCCCACGTAAGTCAGCCAACTACAACAACAAGCAAAGCTATTCAGAAAACATAGGTGTCTTGTACAATGGACAAAATGTGGCTCTTCAGTTTACCTGTCCATCCTGTGTGAGGTGATGGTGCAGCAGTTGGGAGTGCGGCTGTTGGTGTGGTGGCAGGATGTGCAGGAAGGGAGCAGGGGCGTAGCCAGGAGCACCCCCAGGGTTCAGGGGCCCCGTTCCCCCCAGTGCTGAAGGCAGGCTGAAGGGAGGCGGTGTACCCGTGTGGAAGCCCTGCTTGTCAAATGACTGACGAGAACCAAGAGCAGACACAAGGGATTAAAATAACAAACCAATTGCACGCATGTCCAATAGGTTAAGAAACTGGTTATTCAAGATTATGTGCTGCTGATGTGTACACATTTTTTAGTTTTGATCAAGAAGATTATTTGAACAAAAGATCACTCAAGTGTGATTTTATTTTAAGACATTATCTCACAACCAACCTTTACCTAAACACAAACATACAACAGGACAGCAAGTCACTCACCTGAGTTTTGCTGTAGATTGAACCTCCCATATCAGGTACTCCTCCACTGGTACCTGACCCTGACAATCCCGGTGCTGAGAGGAGAAAGAAGAGAGGGACAGGGAAAGGGATAAAGAAAAAAGATTGGAATTGAAGAGGGAAGGGAGGAAAGCAAAGAATGGAAGAGAAGAAGAATAGAGAAGAGAGGAAAATCAAGGGGTTAGGGGGGGGAAGGCAACAATTGTGTCACTTCACTGATGAGTGAATACTAAGCACTGAATGTTCATTTCCATGTTAGTAGGAGGGGGGCCAGCCAGTAGGAAGAAGCGTATTAAGTGAGGAGGTGCAGAGGCATGTTTCTCACTTTTTTCACCCCTTTGCATGTATCCACTGATGTGCACATCAAAGTGCAATCACACACACATGCATATACACACCTTTCTCCTGAACACTCTTGACTGTAGAATCATCTGCAATTGTGAGTACATCCATTGTTCCCACAGGAAAAGGCCCACTGACTTTGTGTGTTGTTAAGAGTGTTTACACATGTGTTGTGTGTGTACCTTTCCCAGGGCCGCTGCCCGCTGCCTTGGCCTGAGACTGGGCAGAGCCTCCGTACCCTCCCTTACTGTACTCCCCGTGGGCTTGAGACAGGTCATCAAAGGCTGAAGGAGGAGGAGTACAGAAGAAGAAGAGAGGAGGCAGAGCGAGCAGAAGAGTGGGAGGGGTAGGAAGAGAAAGAAGCAAGGGAACAGATGAGGTGAAGAGAAAAAAAAAAAAAACAAGAGGAAAGAGGATGGGAAGAGAAGAGAGAGGGGGGGCAGGGGAGAGAGAGGCAGTAAGGTAACCTGACTAAAATGGCAGCGGTGTCTATATTGAGCCGTGTCCAACTTCAGCAGGGGGTTTAAGCTATGCATGCAGCACAAGCAAAAAACACCCACAGGCCCGATTCCACACACACATGCAGGATTTGGTGTACACGTTTAAAGGCCTGGAAGTTTGATTTCTCTTTTGCCTCGCTCTACACTCTTCTC